TACGGTTGACCGACAGCCCATCCGTTCAAGCAGCCGTCTGAGATCTCCGACCCCCGGGGTTGGCTGCAAACATGCGTAGTTTCAGACTGACACAGAGTGTTTGCCATGTCCACCCACACGAAGACAATCCAACAACCGTCGTCTGTATTGTTATCAACAAAATAGGAATGAAAGTCGTTGTACCCAAGGCCAAGGCTTCACGCTGGACATCGACGGAAGATTGCGCTGGCAAAGCACGTCTTGAACACGTCTACTGTACCGTAACACCAAGATACACAGACAGTAATCGATCCAGCACGCTCAAACGCTCCCCGGTATGACCGGGAGCTGAACGGTGACAAATAGGTCCAAGTATTCATATATCGGGTGGCTGCGTGCACAAACATACGCCAGGGTGCTCGGTGGTATCTGGTCTAAAGTATTTTTTGTGTGTTCGATAATTGAGTCTGTTTTGCTTTGCGCCTGCCAGCTTTCGATGCCGGCTTTCGATGGCATTTCAATCTTTGTCCGTTCTCTCCGGTTATCTGGGTGTTTGACTTTTACCTGCGTGTCGCGGCTTGTGTTGGTATGTTGTTTTCGTGTTGCGACCCCTTTCTCGGCCGTTCGTTCGGGCAATCGATTTACCGAACGATGGGTTTACCTATGTACAGCATTCGGTGTCGTTTGCTCTCCATTCAGCTTGAGCATGCCCCCTGGTCGGTACAGGTGATGAAGAGTTGCTGCGAAAGCAACACACTCATACTGCCCCTTTGCACCAGTTTCGTCTTCCTTGGAGGAGAAGGCGCGGGGACGACCTCCTGATCGATGTGCAGGACGTGCAGGACATATGCTAGTCCTGGTCGGTTTCACAACGCGATCCTTGGGATACCGTCTCAGCGGTACAAGCAACCGTCGCAAAGCCTACCCTCGATACACTAGCTGCACCCCGATCAAGGGTCGCCACCGAAGAACGGCGAACCCCATTGTAGGAACTACACAGGGCACGCACTGGAGGCCGGATCAAGCGCAAAGACGTCGGGTTGATCTGTACATCTGCACATGTGCTACAGCAGCAGTAGATAGCAGTAAGGCACCCCCACCTGCGGGTGAGATCTGAGGCTCTGTAGACTATGCATAGCTACTGCTGTAGTCTACATAGAATCTAGATCTCTGCTCTCGAAGGTGCCACAGCAACGTAACGATGGTCGATGCTCTACATTCCTCCTTTGTTACACTGCCCAAAGGGCTCGTCATGGTCATCAATGGTCATGATGGTTAGCTGGTGCGTCCGCGAGCCGCACCGCAGACGAGCCGCACCGCAGATGAAAGGTAAACTACGCGGGGTGCAGCAAGCACATCCTGGACGTTGCTTTGGAGCACTGGGAAGTCGACCGTGTTAGGCCGGGAGAGAGAGTTGGAGAGAGAGTTGGAGAGAGAGTGGGAGAAGGAAACTTGATTGGAGAGAGACGGTGGTGGTGGTGGAGTGAGAGGGAAGAAGAAGAAAAAGTGCGCAGCACGCACGCGAGCCTTCCTCATCATCGCACTGACCACGCCCAAAGGGTCCCCGCGACTGCGCCGGTGGTACCCTTCAACACACGAAATTGCTAACACGTGTCCCCCTGGGATCCTCACGACCAGATACTGCTGCGAGTATATCTAACATCCCCCCTGCTCGCAACAGTCTCTCACTGAAAACTTCGCTAACACCCGATATCTCAACCAAAAGACGTCTTTCCCAGACGATAGTCTATACCATGAAGACTTGACCAGAATAATATACGAGAGAACAACAATTCAAAGAAATATGAAGGCTGCATCGCGCTGAACAAATACTTGGCGCGGGAAATGAAACAACACGGGACCAAAACACAACCCATCAGAAAAACAATAAAATGTTCATTCCAAATTCATCACAAAATCACCGGGAGACTCGAAAGCGTCCTTCGACAAACTCTTCGTAAGAAAGTCTGCACGCTGGTACGGCGACGGCACGTGGATGACCGAAATTTCCTTCCTCTCTACCAGTTCCCTGAGAAAATGGTGCCTTACATCTATGTGCTTCGAGTTCGAGTTTGAGATGGGGTTCTGCGCTAGTTGAATCGCCCCCTGGTTGTCCTCGAAGATGGGGACGCACGGCATGCCGACCTGCGGCAACATGAAACGCCAAATCTGCCCCAAAAACAGAATCTCCTTCACGACGTCACCTAGCGCGACGTCTTCCGCTTCGGTGGTCGAAAGCGTGACACACTTCTGCGTTCTGGAAAACCAAGACGCAGCGCCTCCTCCACACGTCACGATCCCCCCTGACACCGACCTACGGTCTGCTGCCTTGCTTGCAAAGTCCGCATCAGCGTACCCCTGCAAGCTTAATCCCTCCACCGTACTTTTCTGAAACGAAATGCCAAAGTGACTCGTCCTCCTCGCATAGCCTAAAATCTCCATCGCTGCATTCCAGTGTACCAGCTTCGGAGATGCGCAATACCTAGCTACTGCCCTTACTGCATTCGCAATGTCTGGCCTAGTCTGAGTCGCCAGCCACATCAACGATCCTACCAGCTCACGAAACGGAAAGTCTGTCGCCACCTCATCCGCATCAAAATCAGAAAGCTTCACACCCGAAGACATCGGAACGCTCCTACCTCCCACTACTCCATATTCTGCTGCTAGCTCGTCCGTGAAAGTCTGCTGAGAAATCGTCAACCTACCGGTCTCCTTATTCCTCTCGTAAAAGCACCCAGAATACCATCTCAACTCTCTCAGGTTCTTCACTGGCACGGACTTGTCAAGGTCGGCGCCAAACGGGAGCGGGCGGCGGCGTGGTCGCTGGCGGCGGCGTTTCGGCAGGGAACGAATCGGCAGCGGGAGCGGGAGCGGGCGAAGGCGTTGGCGCTGGCTGCGGCAGTGCTGTGGTCGAAGGCGTCGGTGCTGGGCCAAAGTTGATCGAGACGACCGGCGGCGTGAACGGGGGGGGTGTCGGCGCAGCGGTGATACCAGCGGAACCCCCCTCGCCGGCTGGCGCCGACGTCACCCACGACACGTTGTTGGTGTAGACGACGCGGCCGGTGGACGCCTTGAGGACCTTGACGGTGCCGCTCGGGTGGTTGTCGCCGCCGTTCAGGTAGTAACAGAGCGTGGCCTGGTCGTCGAGCTTGGTGCGGCGGTCCTCGCGCATGAAGCCGGGCTGGAAGAACGGCAGCACGCGGAACGGCCCCTGCTCGCCGGTGAACATCTCGTGCGGCGAGCGCCGCCCGGGGTTGGCCTTGGTCGCCGATTGGTTGAGAGCGTCGGCGGCCCATTTCGCCGATTCCATCCAAAGACGATCACCGCGCGGGTCGAGGCCGGTGATGGAGGCGAACTCGACGTTGAGCACAAGGGCAGCGCTGCGGCGAGCGACCATGCCGGCCTTCATGATGCGCCAGATGGCGCTCTCGACGACGCCGTTGTACTGCGGGACGCCGGGCGGGGTGAACTCGACGCCGATGCCGTTGTCGTCGCAGAAGCGCCGGAAATCGCCGCGGGTCCACTCTGTGCCGTTGTCGACGCGGAAACATTCGATTCGTCCGAGGTCGTACCGCCCCACGTCCGCCAGCAGCCTTTTCGTTGCCGCCAGCGCGTCGGACTTCCGCCGGAGACCGTAGACTTTGTTCCACCGCGAGGCGCTGTCCACGGCGACGAACAGGTAGAGGTTGCCGCCCATGGAAGGCATCAGCGGTCCACACAGGTCCAGGTGAACACACCCCAGTGGCTTGGACGCCCGCGCTCCCGGCCCCCGCGGCACCGACCCTCGCCTGCCCTTCGCCTTCATGCAGTCCGTGCACGGTTCCAGCTTGCCGGTGAGCACGATGCCTCTCTGCTGGGCAGTTTCTCTCAAAAGAGGCTCGCAAGCGTGGGCAAGGGAGCGGTGGAAGCGGTTGATGTCAACGGACTTTTCGGTCGATCCAAGAGTGAACGGGGACGCACCAGGGCCAAGCGCGGCCGCACCCAAGTCAAAATCAGAACCTCCGTCAATGCTATCCAAAACACCAGCCACATTCGCAGCGTCACTCTCTGGGATAAATACGGGGAAAAAATCTTGATGTGGGGTGTCATCATAGCCATCCATGAGCTGCTCGTCGGTGAGCACACTCGTATCTCCAAGATACATACCCGGAAAAGTACCCACACACACAAACTCGGACGCCGAGGAAGGTACTACGTCGGCAGAGCCGGCGGGCGGGACGCTCTCACTCGCAGGTACTACACTGGTTGGACCAGTGGGCGGGACGCTCTCACTCGAAGGTACTACGGTAGCAGAGCCTGCGGAAGGAACACGCAATACGGACACCAATGATTCCGCGGAGCCCCCTTTTTGGGAAGAGGAACGCGTGGAGCCAACGGCGGGGGTNCTGGGACCAGTGGGCGGGACGCTATCAGCCGAAGGTACTACGCTAGCCGAGCCAGCGGGAGGATTACGCAACATGGAGACCAATGATTTCGCGGAGCCCCCCTTTGGGAAGGGGAACGCGCGGAGCCAACGGCGGGGGCGGAATCGGGGGCAGTCACGAATGCGGGCAAAGCAGCAGGGTCTACAATAGTCGCAGATGGGTCGTACGGCAACCGCATGGCATACGCTGCAGACGCTTTTTTCTCTCTAGCAAAGAGCAGCCTATTTTGTAGGGTTGCACCACGTTCGTCGTAGAGGATTTGTTGCTTCCGAGAAACAGCATGCGTTGAGAACAAGTTGAAACTCAGGCTCTCTACAACAGACACGTCAGTGAGCTTCACACACATCGTCGTTTTCTCACCATTCTCATCCTCCTGAAAGAAACTAAGTTTAATACTACCGATGGCTTGCACTTTTAGCAGTCGACCATCACCTACAACGACATACCTCCTACTGGCGGGGATCTCTTGCAGGTCATACATGTGTAGGCTGCTGTTGATGAAACTGTTGCTGGCTCCTGAGTCAGCTACCCATCTCTCGCTACCAGGCGGCCCCTCACTAGATTTCACACTCGGCAAAGACGAAGCAGACGCAGCAGACTCTACTCCAATCTTCACTCCTATCCTAGTAAAAAAATTGTCAGGGTGAGGCTTGCCTAGGGGCACCGATTGTGCCGTGCAGAGGTGGAGGTAGCCCGAAGATGGAGGCGCGCCAGGAGAAGGAGTAGAGGACGAGGGGGAACTGCTATTCGCGGGGGGGGGCTGACGTTGCTGCTCGGATGACGAATCTTCGCCGGCAGAAGGGTAGTACACGTAGTGGATGCTGCTGTCAGATGAACGGCTGTCGTCGTACCCTGAGGAGTAGCTGTAGCTGTCCCCACCGCCTGCGTAGTGGGCGTACCCGGCGTCGTGGTAGCCGTCTTCGTAGTAGCCTCCATCATCGTGGGCGTAGTACACAACGTACGCCTGCTCTCTTCCGTGGCCAGAACGCGCGTGCCCCGGGCCTCTC